GGGGGAGGGCTGGGGGTCCTGCCCCAGGAGTGAGGGGAGTGGGTGAGGGCTGGGGGGTCCTGTCAGCAGGAGTGTAGGGTGTGGGGCAAAAAGGAGGAGTCGCCCCAGGCGGCAGGCGACCGGAGAAGGAAGGCCAGCTCAGCGCCGAGCGCGGAGCCCGAGACGACTTTGGCGGAAACCGCTCAGCGCGGGTTCAGCGGCSTGGCGCACAGGCCCGGCCCAGGTAGAGCGCGGGCGCGAGAGGCGCAGGGCGCCGGCAGGGGGCGCACGAGCCCCCGGGGCGAAGGATCAAGTGTGCGCATGCGCCGAGTCCTGCCCACACGTGGGCGGTGCCTTCTCGGATTGGGTAGCGCCGCCACGTCGGGCGGGAGCGTCGTCGCGTCCGGTGACGTCTCCCGCGGGCGTCGGCAGGGTTGGCGGCGTCGGCAGCCGTGTCGGCGGCGGCGGGTGGGAAATGGCGGAGTACCTGGCCTCCATCTTCGGCACCGAGAAAGACAAGTGAGTGAGGGCCGTCCTCCGGCGCTCGGGCTGGGCGCGGGCAGGGCGCGGGGCCGGGCGGCAGGCAGAGCGCGGCGGGCGGGAGCGCGGCCTTCCGGCCTCGCGCGCCTGGGCCGCCGCCTCGTGGGCCACGCAGCGGGCGGGTGGGGCGCGCCGCGGCCTGGACGCCGGACTCCCGCCCGCCGTGGCCGCCGAGGGTCCGGGCCCGGCCGGCGCCGACTCGTTTTCTCCAACTTTCAGCCTGCGGCACGCCGGCCCCAACCCCAGCCTCGCCAGCGTCCGGTCGCCGGCGGCACGGGGTCGTGGTGGTCGGGGAGGTCCGCGGAGCCCGCCTGCTGCCCGCCCCAGCCATGGCGGGCCGGCGGCGCGACCCTGAAGTGGGAAAGCGCAGCCAGACGCCGGATTAGCCGCGCCGCGGCCACAGAGGCCCTGCTCCCGGAGCGCTCGGGAGTCGCGTTTCCGATGCGAGCAGAGTTTGGGGTTCTTTGGGGGTTCGTTTTTTTYCCTCCCGGTAAAGGTTGCGTGTCTTCCCTCATCAGCTGTTAGGTTAAAAGTGAAGAATCAAATTTCGCCTGTGTTTGGTTGCCGTGTTGGCACGTGTTAATTTCAGTGTGTTGGCTGAAGTTTAGGGTAAAGAGAAGTCTCCAGACGCTTTGAAGGATAATTCCTACTTTGAAAACCCAAAGCCTAAGCGTCTGGCATAATCTACTCCCAGTAAGTGGTAACCGTCTTGGCATTCTTGAGCGCCATGCAAAGCTTATGCAAACATCTGTTTTTTTCTGGTAAGCCCCTAAATTTGTCATAGATAATATTATTTGATGCCACTTTTTCAAATACTATTGAAATGTTTCTGTTTTCCAGGCTGGAGGCTGCCCTGTCAAATGTCTTCTTTACACAGGATAGAATCCCCTGTCTTGTTTGGGAGAGGGGATGTATTTCTTTCTAGAAATCTCACGCCAGAATCAGCAGTCATAGTCACTGGACAAACATACATTGGATATCAGCTATGGGACATGCTGGGAACTCAGAGATTCATAAAATTTGGGTCTTGTCTTTAGGGATTGTAGTGGGAGTGTCAAGATTAATTAAAGTAAAATACCTTAAAATATTTGAAACGCTGTGGAAGAGTGTGTATCTTAAATGCTCTGAGGTATAGGAGGTGGCTTGGGAAACAGGCCTAATATGTCCTTGGACATGGAAGCTGCAGGACTTATGCATGCAGAACCAGGGACATAAGTTCACCTTTTCATGTGTATTTCTGTGTGCTGTCACTGGGTGTTGTGAGAGGCTGTCCTGGGTGGCTTGTTACTCCAGTAACATTTTTACATTCCTGCTTTAGGCATATTTCTGCCTCTTAAGGCAGAATCACACATGTCATGGTTTCAATTCAGAAAGTTTATTATCTAGGTCACTTTTGTGCTCATTTCAGGGAGTTGCATGGGCTTAACTTCAGGAAACAAGATCAGCTCCTAAAAAATGAAAGCTATGGTTTCTATTAACTTTTTTTTTTTTTCCTTTTTTAATTAAAGCTAGAAGATAGATGTGGGACTACTCTACCAATTTTAAAAAATATATATGTAACTATGCACGTTAAGTTATGGCCATTTTCTAGCTTCAAGTATAAATCAGCTTTTTTAGTGGTTTGTTTGTGGTAGTAAACCTTTTTTCTTATGGCATTTCATTTTGGAGTTATACTAAGAAAATCACTAAAGTTACCCGCCCCCCCCCCAAAAAAAAAGTTTTGATTAATTTTACTAAGCTCTAAATAGCGAATTGGTTGAAATGAAAGGCCATCACTGGAAGTAAAGGAAYGAGGGTTATTTTATCTCTATGGGATAATTGAATATTAATTGTTCAAGCAATGATTTTGCTCATTCTGACATATTTGTTAAATAAGGTATTTATTTTCACTTGAGTTCATTAATATTATCTGATCAAGTTAGGTTATCTAAAGTCAGAGTTACTTCTAAGTTTGAGAATTATACATAGTGATTATTTTCCTTTCTTGATAAATTCACAAACCTTCCCATCTTGATTACTGTCTGGTAATAGCTAACAATCTTCATGGCTAATCAATCATGTTTCATTGAAAGTTGAGGCCATTAGGGTTGACTTCCTGAACATGTCCTTGCTAAAAAATTGCATCTATAGAGCAGCACTTTCACTCTGCAAGGTGAAACTTGAATGAAGTCCATCTAGTACAATTTTATAATTCCTCACAGATTTGCCACATTACTTGGCATTACCGTCGTGCAGGTGCTGATTGCAACTTGTTCTGGGTGATCAATGTATTTACAGTAGAGACAGAGATGATCTGAGATAGTTTCTAAGACATGCTTGATCCCTTGATTTMCTGTTTACTTCATACTTATTTGTAAATTTTCTCTTGGTCTTATGGGTTGTAGGAGAACCTGAAATTTGTTTTCTGTTTTCCTTGGTGGTAGTACTAAATGAGTCCTGTGTATGAAGCACATATATGTTGTATCTGATTCTCAGAACAGTGTCAGGTTGGCTCCTTCTCATTTTACAGACAGCATCTGTGACCTGCAGAAGCGGGGAACTTGTCCAAGCCAGGCAGCTGGTAGAGTTGGGGTTTCTCTTCTCCCTATACCCTGCTGGTGTCCTCCAGAATTTTATCATGGACAAAATAGAGTATAGGGCTTAGGTTTAACTTATACTAAATACTTGATTTAATTAAGAAAAACCAGAAGAGTAAAAGTGAAAAAGTAATCCTAAGATATTGCCAGGAAGAGGAAGGTGCCACCCAGAAAAACTGCCTGCGCTTTTGTGAAGTAAAAGGAAAGTAGTTGGATGGTATATATATCACATTAATGGCATATTCCCTTTTGATATTGTCACAGTAAAATAATCAGCTCTTGTTTTCCCTTGCAGAGTCAACTGCTCATTTTATTTCAAAATTGGAGCATGTCGTCATGGAGACAGATGCTCTCGGTTGCACAATAAACCGACCTTTAGCCAGGTTTGTTTGTTTTTTCTTTTCTGTTTTCATGTAAATTTACCAAAATTTTGTATTTTTCAGAGGCACTTAATGGTTTCCATATATTGTCTTTTTTCCTCTAGTTTTATTTTGTATTTGTGTTCATGTGTCCTTTTGTTTAAGTGAGAATGAAGCAGGTGAACCACCCAAAGTGGGAGGTCCCTTATTCTTCTTACTAGAGAAACTTTTTAAAAATAAGTTAAATGTTTCTGTGTTGGCTGTGACTGATGTTCACTGCCCTGCCCTCCCTCCCCTGATATATGTGGTTTGGTGAGGAAAATGCCAGCTTTGACTGCACCTCTTGTCCAGGCTGTGGTGGATGCAGAGTGGGCTTTCTGCTCTTTGCTCTCTAGACAGTAGAGTGATTCAGCCACTGGACAAAGGATGTTGGCACGGTTGTCTGTCAGCAGGCCCACACACTGTGCTGCTGAGTTCCTCTGATACCCCAGAGAAGTTCCCACTTTTACACCCCAAGTTGAGCAAGCAGCACGTTGCACCATGTTGGAACCATTAAGATGAAACTTAATAGTAGAAGATAAGCATACCTTGTCCATAGCAGGCCTGTTCAATTAATTGAGAGATGCCTGTTATCTTGAGCTGAGTTCAATCTTTGTGGGGGGGTTTGGTGATTGTTTTGTTTTTGATAGTTGGTTTTGGCAGATTGAAGAAAAGGCAAGGATCTGTGCCCTACAAGGGCTTACTGATGGATTGAAAGGACAAAATACTTCTAATAGTAGCAGAAAGTGTCATTAAGTCTGTCTGGACTGAKACTGAGGAGCCCCTTTCTCATCACCCCATACACAAGGTGCACTTGGACCCTTTGGTGGCTACAGTGCATAGCTCAGAAGCTGCTGGACTCAGCCTTGAATACACACCTTTCTGTTGATGATTTATCCTTCTCAACCAGTAGAAATGAGTTGGAAGAGAGACATTGATGTTTTAAGTCTCTGGGAAAACCTTACCACAAAATGTTTTTTAAAAGAGAAGCACATAATGCCTTTTTCCTCACAACATTCCTCATGATTACATGGTTAGTGTAAAAAAAATCTGCTCTTTAATAACCAAACATGTCCCTGTTTGTTTTTGTGAATTTCGAAATATCAGAGAACTTGCTTTAAGTTTTCTATTATAATTGTGTTTTAATTTGAATTATTAGCTAAGTCTCCCCAACTAAACTAGTGGCTATAGATTGTGCAGTAACCAAGTTTTTAAAATCTACCCCGGTTTTTTATTCTGGGGAAAGTACACATCAGGTATCTGGCTGTTTTCTCCTTAAGAATGCCCTTTAACTGAGCCAGAACACTTGATTTTTCTTCTTTCTGAATCATTGATCTCTTCAGGAGGTTAAATGTGAAGTTGATTTGAATACTGTGGATTAGAACATGGAGGTGCTTCCATTAAAATTTGATGGGATCAGCAGTATGAGGTCAGTATCTTGTGTTGGTTTGGTCTGTTAGTTGGAGGTAATCCTAGTTGTCCCCAATTTTAATGGAACCACTTCACCCCTTTATTTGAAGTTTCGTGCAGCAAACAGCCACTGCCTGAGGGAGCCCTGTAGTGAGTTTTATCATTGAGTATCCAGGCTCTGTTTAGCTTATAGTCAGTGCTCACACCCGTGATCCCTGAGGAAGCTGTGTAGAATCAATTTTTTGGAAACCTCCAAGGCCCAAGATGAATTGATTCAGGGTAGCTCCTGATGGGTAGGGAGGGTGCTGGGCCCTGAGTGAAGGTGGCTGTTTTATTCTCATGGTTCAGGGTGTGCTTTCTGAGTTCAGCCCTTCCCCCAGGTGGGTTCCAGCTCAGGCCTGCAGGAACGTCCCTTGGTACCATGCCTCTTTAAAGATAGCTCAGAGTAGAACTGACTGGGTGACTAAAATACTTGAAAAATGCTTTCTTCACACCCCTGTTATTAAGAATGAATATTTATTTTTCTAAATCATGCAGTGTGTTGGTTCAGCTTGTAAATCTCTAGCATAATTCAGGGTGGGTTTCTTTGTAAGCTTCTTACAGTGATGTGGACAAGATTCATGTAATATATTAGCTTACTAACTCAAACATGGTTTGTTTTTTCAGACAACTTGATTTTAAGAAGAACGGTACAGTGTAAGGTTTCAAGTCTGCCTGATCCAGTTTTAAAGCACAAGGGCTAAAAGGATTTTTTTCCTTAAAAGAAGGATCGGAAAAGAGCAAATGTTTTAACTATTGTATTATGTAAACAGAGATCCCACCAAGAAAGTGTAAATAAGAGTCAGGTATCCATGACAACTTGGTGTGCCTGTTTTGCTAAGACCAGAGAACTTGATGTACTGCATACAGTTGAGTTATGCATTTGGTTGAGAAAAATAATTTTGTGTGGGGAATATGATTATAACGTGAGTTTTTTGACATCTTCGTGTCTGCTGGCTTGAAGTACAAGAAAATGTTAGTGTTCTATTATTTATCTTGTATTAAAGCACTTTACTATTGATAACGGGGACCACAAAACAACAGTTACAGTTTCTTCTTGGTTGCTGGCTGACTTGACCCAAGTCACTGCTCAAACTCTGTTTTCATAATATGATGGTTTTGGTATACTCTGCACAAGACAAAGTGTCTGACTTGCGGGAAAAAAACAACAAACGTTTAGCCATTTGCAAACAAATTGTCTCTTTGCAATTGTCTAATATATGCACAGCAGCCAGTAGAATTCCCCTTTTTATTTTTTTTTCCCCGCAGACCATCTTGATTCAAAACATCTATCGTAATCCCCAAAACAGTGCACAGACGGCTGACGGCTCACACTGTAAGTCCCACAGTTGGAGAAATTTTTTTAAAACGATGGTGTTCAAGAGCCCACTCTTAATTGAGACATAATGTTGGCTCTGAGCTGCTGACATAGAGCTGTTGCAAACAGGACAAGGTGCTGGAACAGCGTGGCGCACACAGCCAGAACTTGATATGGGCCATGTTCAGGAGGCTCTCCTAGGAAGGGTCACTGGCGACCTCTTCCATTGACTGACATCTGTCTGGAAAGCGTCCGTCCACGTGAAACGGGTTTTAATGTTAATAGCCGGTCATTGGTCTTTACAGTGACTGAACCCCTGGCCTTTATTAAGTTCTTTCTGTAAAATTAAAATGCTAGGAATATTGAGGAAATCAACAAGGTAAGTTTCCCAATAAGTGTGGGTTCTATTTCACCATTATAATTTTTCCTCTAGGAAGTGGAGATTTCATGAAATGTAATTATTGTATTTCTCGAATTATTAGCAATTTTTTCACCCGTTTATAGAGGTGCTTTTCTTTCTCAGTTGTTAAGCTTTCTGTCACACCTGAGGATACTGGTAGTCACCTGGCAAGCTATTTGCATTCTTACTTGGATTGGAATTTTAAAGTGGAGAGTTTTTACATTCTGTAAACAGAAGTACAGTATTGGCATCTCATGAGATCTCTGTTGCACTGCAGTGTTAGGGTAGATCAAGACAGCCACCAACTAAGGGAACATCTCTGCTTCTGAAGAAAATAACTTCCTCTTTTTTCAGCACTGACTCTCACCTGAAGCGATCGCCAAAGGCAACCGGTTAAGTGTTTACATTTAATTTTCCGTAATATAAAGTTGTTGCGTTTTGTATTTCAGACCATTGCCCTCTTGAACATTTACCGTAACCCTCAAAACTCTTCCCAGTCTGCTGACGGTTTGCGCTGTAAGTTCATACAAGTTCCTTCCCTGGTTCCCTGGGCTTGCGTGTCAGAGCTCAGTGCCCACTCCATCTGGTCTGCTGTGCTAGTGTCGAGGACCACGTTCACTAGAGGTGGCAGGAGTGTGTCCCACTGATCCCGTGGAAGCCTCTGTTGGAGATCTGAACTCCGGCCCTTTGTGCCAGAGCAACAGTGACTGGAAAGGGCACCCTTTGAAACAGTTCGGACCTGCTGCTCTTTCTTTCTCACTTGGACTGTCATCCTGGGATTGAGTTCAAGTTCTGCTCTTCCCTCTTAAGAGCAGCAGTATCTGAACGTTTCTCACTTTCTGAACTCTCAAAAACAAATTGATTTGAATTTTTTTAGGTTTTTTTTTTCTCATTAGCCTTTTCACTAAAACTCCACTTTGGAAGTCTTGCTTTTAATTGCAAGAGCTTGTTCTGTATTACCCAGTGAAGGTCTGTAGCTTGTGTAGACCTCTCAGTTTTCCTCCACATGTGTAGTGTACTCCATTCAGATAGGCGCAAGACACTGTTTGGGGCCGCCTGCTTTGCCTAGATAAAATCTCCAACTGCCGGAGTTAAGTGCTGCTTTGGGGAAATAAAAGGCACTTAGTGGGGAAACAGTTCTAAACTGGCATTCAGTAAATATTACCAGTTTCTTCCTGTATTGGGAAATCTGTTTAGGTTGTGAATATTTATAGAGTGGAAGTTTGTAAGTGTCCAGCAGTAGAACCATTGGGAATTAGTCATTTGTGGGTAAATTGAAATGAACGCCTGGACTCTAGTTAGAATAAGGAGTCAAAACCAAAGGGTCAGACCTCTCACCGGTTTATTTTAAAGTAAAAATTAGTAAAGCTATCCTTGGATAGCACAGACCTAAATCAAGCACACCCTTAAACCTGAACCTCTCCATTGTAGGATAATCTACCTTGGGTAAATGGTCTGGGGGCAGGGGGCCATTGCCCACTGGAGCTGGCCCTCAAGTAGGGGTGCCTTGGTGCACCTTTCCACGTGAGATGGGATTTTCTCGTAAACTTCCTGCTGAGATGCTAAATGTTTTTGTATGCTAATACTCACTTGATAGAGATTTCTCTCCCTGAATCTGGTAGTTGCAGGATTTACTTGGTAATCCTTGGTTTAAAATACCTGGTGTTTTGTTTTTTGGTTGTTCGGTTTTTAAAAGAAATAAGGTGCCAGTAGTGGAGGGAAATAAACATTTAAGTATGGACTTTTGTTAACCCTGGGGTGAAGATAAATGAGAAATAGATGATTAACAGTTATTAATAAATCTCTGCCCTGGTTGTTCACTTGGGGACTGTGTATGCTTAATTGACCATAGTGTTGCATTAGTTTTCTTTGTATCTTTATTTGCAATTCACAGTACTCTTACTTTGCATATGCTACAAACTGAAAGTTTAGCTGTTACTAWATGTTCCAATTCTGGGGTCCATCCAGATTGTACAAATTAAATGGATTTATAATTTTGGGTTTTAGAAAGAAAATTAGTTCCTAAATGAAATCACTGGCTCTGCCCTTTCATACCTAGGAAAATTAGCTTCATGTGCAGGAATTGAAGTTAAACATGAGTCCCAGTTTTTGAGTGATACTCTTCTAAGAAAACTAGTTGATTTTCAAATTTGTGTTATTAAAATTTGTATTATTTAAAATATACTGAGTCATTTAAGTAGTTTCCATTTGGTTACTATGTACCGATCTCTGCCTTTCAAGTTATTTTCACTAAAAAATTCTAAGCAAAATGAGTGTAGCCAGTAGTTCAAAAGAGCCACCACAAAAAATTCTCAAACTGCTAAAACTTTAAGTTCTTTTTCTTTTCACATTCTTTCTGATACGGAAAAGGAAATGGATYGTAAATAATGTTCAAATCCACCCCTGGAATGGGCTTCTGGCTTCCTGCTGTGTTGAGTTCCACTCAGGGACCAGGTGCTCCTGACAGCTGAGTTGGGCCTTTTGTGGTTCCAGTGGCAGGTTGGCTGTCAGAAGTCATAGGTGTTGCCTAGCACATTCATTCAGTCTTGGATTGTAAGGCAAACTGAGTTTCTGGAAATTCAAAAATAACTAAAACAGCCTCCATTAATTTAAAAAGAGGACTTATTCTCAGAATAGAAGATAAGTTAGCTATTATCTTTGAGAATGAATAAAAAGGGTTTTGAGTGAGCTCAAAGGCAGCCCAGTCTGTGTAGTCACACACCCCAGTCACAGATGCCCTTGATGGGCTGCGCCAAGTGAGGTAGCGAGGTTTGTCAGCTAACCTCTCATCCAGGAGCGTGGCGTGGAAGGTAACAATTGGAGACCCAGCCAGCCCAGCTTTGAAGCCAGCTGGGCCTTTGGCCCTGACCTACCTGTTTGGAACATGACTTCATTGACCTGCCAGCTTTACGATTTCTCAAATTTAGATTACGAGAACTCCAGAATTCTAGAATAGTAAAATTTGATAGCAAAAATGATGATGGGAATAGAATGTAAATTTGCAAAATTATCCATGCAATGGGTATGATTTCACTTAGTGCATGTGAATTGTGAAGGGTGAACTTGATGAAAATAGTTCTGGGGCATAAAAGAATGCTTTTTTTCTGTAAAGCATCATGACTTTACGTTTACTCGGGGCATCCAAAATACTGAAGTTGTAACTGGTTAATGGTCCTGCTGAGTCTCTGATCGCTTGGGTTTTAATCGCATCAGAAAGAACTTTCTAGCCTTCTGTGGCTGGTAATGTATAGAAAAAACTAGTTAGGCACATAAGCTCTTAATCGTTTGCCCTGATTTCAGCTTTTATTTTAAYAAAGGGGAAAAGTAGTGTGCTTACTTGACCTCTATTCTAAATCTTAAAGGAAGGAAATTTATTGTCAAGTCTTAATTTGAGAGTCACCCTTCCCTCGCATTTCCTGAAAATACAGCCCTTTGATGCTGATTAAAACTGGTTGTGATTTTTAGTAGCCAAAATTGAGACTGCCGGGCGTTCACAGTCTCAGCACGCTCTAAGTCACTGGCAAGCTGGTGCTCCTGTAGCGTGCAGCGCTGGCCTGCTGTTCCTCTAGACAATCGTGTGTGTCAATGTAGCAGTTGAACTTTAAAGAGGAGAGTTCTGGGCGGCCGCCTTCTAACCAGCAAGATCTCTYTTGTTTGTAGGTGCCGTGAGCGATGTGGAGATGCAGGAGCATTATGATGAATTCTTTGAGGTGAGACCATGGACTGCACACCTCCTCACCGTATCTGCTTGGAGGGATTAACACTCACCCCCTGAAYACACATGAGTTCAGTTAGTGACGCCGGGCTTGGCTATTTCACAGTCCTTAAACCACTGTGTTCTCCCTTCAGGAGGTTTTTACAGAGATGGAGGAGAAGTACGGGGAAGTCGAGGAAATGAACGTCTGTGACAACCTAGGAGATCACCTAGTGGGGAACGTTTATGTCAAGGTAGGACACTGGTTGGCTGGCTGAGCCTGGTGACCAAGGACTGTTGCCCTTTGAGCTGCTGGCCTTAAGATCATGAATGTGGGAACTTAGGAATTTTGATGTGGTAACTCAGCTCTCCCAATCGTGGCTTTGATATCAGAGGCCGCCAGCCTACACCCTGTCAACAGGATTGGGAGGAAGGACAGAGCAAGGGACATAACTGGGTTAGAGCTGTTTTGACTAGGGGCAACTTTGTTTTGTGTCTTTTTCCTTTTTGTTCAATAAAATGCATTGCCTATGCAATCACCTTTGCTCTTAGCATGTTGAATTTGAAAATGAATGCAACATTTAGCATGGTCTTGGGCTATAATGAAATTAATAGTTTTTTAAAAAAAAAAAGGGAGCCATTGACTTCTGACTTCTCAGTTGTTCTGCACCACTATTCCATCCTAGAAATTTCACCTCAGTGTGTAACATATACCAGGATCAATGACTGAAAATGTGTTACTAAGGTGAGTGGCAAGCAGTTTTGTTTTTGTCTTTCCAGTTTCGCCGTGAGGAAGATGCAGAAAAGGCTGTGATTGACCTGAATAACCGCTGGTTTAACGGACAGCCAATCCATGCTGAGCTGTCTCCTGTGACCGACTTCAGGGAAGCCTGCTGTCGCCAGTATGAGATGGGGTGAGTGCAGGGCAGACCGCAAAGCYGCGTGTGGGCTGCGCATGCTCCAGCCCTCACAATGCATGACACACTTCTGGCTTTGACCCACAGAGAGTGCACACGAGGAGGCTTCTGCAACTTCATGCATCTCAAGCCCATTTCCAGAGAGCTGCGGCGGGAGCTGTATGGGCGCCGTCGCAAGAAGTGAGTACTCAACAACATGAATGCTGTAGAACTTAATTTCACCCAAGACTAAACAGACTTCATTCCATTCTTTAAAAGGCACCTATTATTTATGTGTATGTGCGTGTATTCTGTTTTTTAATGTGAAATATGCTTTTTGAAGAATATTCATGATTTTATTTCTGAAGTGGAAATCAAACCTTAGTTAAGAAATGTTAAGAAGGAGACCACTGAAATTCAGTGTGTGCAATAGTTTACTCTCCAGTTAGGTATTGTAGCTTCCTTTAAATACCATGTGCCTGTTGGTTCCTTTTGGTTTTGGGGGGAGTTGCTTCATTTTCTCTTGACGGGTGTCAGTTCTCTGTTTCTACTACTGACAAAATTGGGTGCAGCAGTTATGTCACAGCAGAGAAAGTCAAGGCATTAGTGGTGAATRGGAAGAGTCACGCTTTTGGTTAGGCTGAATTCTGATCTTAGAAGGGTTCTCATCCCTCTCTTGTTAAACATGTGTCAGGAAATGGAGTAGTGGGGATCCTCTGTTGCTACCAACAACAGGAAGCAGAGGAGAAAAAGAACTCTGCTCTCCTGACCCAAAATAGGCCTCCTGGGCTCAGTAGTGAGTGTCCCTGGGGGGAGGGCCTGGTCAGAGTTGGGGGCAGGATGCGTGTCAGGATCATGTATTATGGTGCTTTCCCGTGGTCATGTGAGTTGTTACTGGWGGAAGACGTAGAAGGTGGAGGGGTCATATCTTTGTCCCAAGACTATCTGAAGCGCTTCTCCCTTCAAAAGGGCTGTTGGCTGTTGCATTTTGTTGGTGCTGATTGCATGTTCCTTTCCTTGATTGCAGGCACAGGTCCAGGTCCCGATCCAGGGAGCGGCGCTCTCGGTCCAGAGACCGTGGTCGTGGTGGTGGAGGCGGYGGAGGAGGTGGGGGCCGCGAGCGTGACAGGAGGCGATCGAGAGATCGTGAAAGATCTGGGCGATTCTGAGCCATGCCATTTTTACCGTATGTCTGCTAGAAAGTGTTGTAGTTGATTGATCAAACCAGTTCATAATGGGAATTTTTTTTAAAAAACAACAAAAAAAAAACACAAAGATGGGTTTCTGAATAAAATTTGTAGTGATACAGTATTCCTGGTGTAACTTTTTTCTTTTGGAAAGTTTTTAATTTAAATTTTCTTTATGCCAGTGATTCATTCTCAAGGTAAAGATTATGTGCACATCTTGCTTTGGGTATAAATGAAAGTGTTTTATATTTTGCTTAAATAAGCAAAACACACCAGGTGAGACTTTCATGCAGGAAAGTCAACTCCAGGTACATGCCTATTAGGTGGCCCAGAATTTCTCCTCCCGCCTGGTCACGAAGCCTGTGGAGTCTGTCCTCGCCAGTCAGGAGCCACCCCCTTTCAGCACATGTTCTGGGGCACAGGAGCCTGCTCYGCGGTGAGGGGGTCCCAGACATTGTCGTTTCCTCTTATTTGGTTTTGCTGGAAGAGCAACAGTGCTTGTTTAAAACAGTGACAGTTAAAACAAACGTGCTGTTGTGTACTTTCACATTGCTGTGTGTGGAAATGAGTTTTGTCTGTTCATGGTATGGCCAGAGGTGTGGGGGGGTCAGTGACAGCTCCTGKTGAGTAGGGGGTCACATTCCCATCCCTGTACTCCCCTTGACCCCAGATGTCAGAATAGGAATTTCAGTTGGTCTAACGTTCGGATGTAATTGTGCAGATTCTTGTTTCCTCAACTGATCTGAGAGGGGCAAGGTGGCAGAAGTTGTACTTTGTGTCTAATAACTACCTGCTATTAGCTTTTCCTCCATTTTAAACATCTATTTAAAATGTAAATGGAAAATGTCATTAGAAGTGTTTTCAGACATTGTTGTTGAAGATGAGCTGTCTTGAAGAGATGGCCCGAGACGCCAGAACACAGTTGCTGCTGTCTGTCGTGTCCCTAGCCAGTTGGTGAAATACAGCCTAACAGTGTAGGCTGGTACAGAGGCAAATGAAGCCATGACTTTTGTACTTCTCGGTTCAGGATTGCCTGTTTGCCAAAACAACCAGTGATTTATTTTACAGTCACAATTCAAAACACAGGAAACAATATTTTTACAGTTTCCAATGTTTCGTCCTTTGGGATGGTCTTGTATACTGCTGTGTCTTGTAGGACTCTACCATGGCTACTCTTTAGTTTCACTTGAGTCTACTGGTTCCCAAGCTGGAAGCACAGTTTGTGTAAATTCCCCAGAAGTGTGGTGCTCAGCAGAGGGTTTCCAACTCTCAGATTGCCCATTGATATTTTCTAACTTCCTTTCATCAATTTCCCCTTAATTTTGTAAAAGAATATATATTTTTTTTCTTCTGGAAATTAGGCTTCATGGGTTTGTGTTCTGTGCACAGGGACTTCTCACTACCTATGAGGAAGGCACAGCCCCTGAGTAGGCTCAACTTGCTCTCTGAGAGCCAACTACCTCAACTCCAGGGCTTTTTGGCATTCATGGGCTTCAATAGCACAGCAGGGTGTGGTGACATTCTAGGTACACACCAGACATGGGGTGAGAAGGACCTGCTGAATGCCTGGTTAGCACTTTGGATATTCCAGCTGATGGTGCAGGGGATAGCAAGGGCCTTGCCATGGTCTGCATGTGGTCAAATGCCCATTATGATTGAYGACTTAGTCCTTGGGGTGGCACTGTCTGGAGTGATAGAACCCTTGGGGGATGGGGTCTAGTGGAGTTCCTTGGATAACTGGGGTGTGCTCTTTAAGGGGATTGTGGGACCCTAGTTTTTCTGACTTGCTGTTTGGCAGTGTAAGTTAAGTTCTTCCACACATACCTCTGCCAGGATGTGCTGCAGTGGAGAACTGAGCAGTGCTAGCACCATGCCCTTGAACCTCCAAAACTGAACTAATATTTCCTCTTTTTAAAGTTAGCTGGCTTGGGTGTTTTATTATAGTGAACAGAACTACACGACAGGCTTCTGCCTGTGGTTCACTTGAGCAACTTGGGAAGGGGTCTAGGAGAGGCCTTTTGTGGGGCAGCAGAATTCCAAAGGCTTTGGACATAACAAAACTGGAACTGGGCCATGAGGAATGGGTGTTGAATTACCTTCCCTCAAAACCTCTACATAGGGAAGGGGAGTTGAGGTTGACATAAGACAAAGCGGGAAGATGGCTCTTCACCCCAATTAACCCACTTGCCTTTCTGAGAATCAGAATCTCTCTCTGCAGGAGCAGAGATAGGCTGGTGCCTTGTGCTGTCATAATGTCTGATCAGCAATGCTGGTGTTCAGACACCAGACTCCAGCCTGCCCTGCCCTGCCCTGCCCCTGGAGATGGAGCTGCCTCAGGTGAATGCTAAGGTGGCTGATGAGGCCACTRACAAGGAAGAGCCAGGGCCCAGTGCTTCACATCTCATTGCCCAAATCATTGCTGCCTTTTTAATCAGAAATCCTTTATATGGAGTGAGTGGCACTGATAGAACCCATGGCACAGAGGTACATGCAGGGACCCCAGCTGTAAAAGTGGCACAAAAGCACAAGATACCACAGACTAGCAGCACAGCATAGTACATGTGCCACATCAGAGCGGGATTCACTCCAGTAATTCAAGGATGGGCTTTTTCAAGGCTGATCTGTCCTGTGCATGGCTTCTTGGGAATACCCAGTTATGCTTATGTTGTATTTCTTCCCCATCTGATTAGTGCATGATGCATACAGCAAGGTATGCTTGCTCCTCTGTGTGCTCCACTGTGCTAAAGACGGCCAGAAGACATGAGGAGAGGTTGAAGGGCGACAGAACTGATGGCTCTGGTGGGCCATGGGAAGACCTAGCTGGGGTCCTGCCTGGTGCGGGAGGGATTGCGCTGCAGTGTGTGTGGATGTTGGAGGCAGCGTCCGGCTGCAGTTTGGAGTGATGCACAGAAGAGGGGCAAGAGTGGGGAAGCCTGACCAGGCAAGAGGGGCGGGGATTCTCCATGTTCTTAGCACTCTGATGGGGTGCACTGGTGGGTGCTGTTTTAATTTGCATATCCCTGGTGACCAGTGACTCTGCACCTTTTCACGCTGTTGGCCATTTGCATATCATTATGAAGGACTTCTTCTTTAAGTCTTGTCTATTCAAAATGTTGACTGCGTTGGCTGTTTGTGGCTTGTTCCTCGGGCCCTCCGCAGAGTGTGGAGATGAGTCCTTTGTTGATGTACACTGCACACACTTGCCCCAGTGTTCGGATTGATTTTTACCTTCCCAACTTCCTGCTGATATTTCATCAACTTTTATTACTGATGGTACTGATTAAAGAAATAATTCAGGTTTTAAGGCCAACAAACTTGTAAGACCACCCCCATGCACGTGTTGGCCTTGGGACAGCCCACCTGAAGGAGGACATGGGTCTTCGGAGTGTGCGCTGTCACCAGGACGGCTGCCTGTTGCGAGGCTGGGAAAGGGATGAAAGACTAGGTCCCCAGGGTGTGAACCTTTTAAACAGGTAGTGTCCTGCAGCCCAGAAAAGTGACAYGCAGAGTCAGGGCCTTGTCACCACACATTCGGACAATTCAGGAAAGAATTGTCCTAGGAAAGATGGGGCTGAGAGGCCAGGTGCAGTACTGTGGATGTCGTCTCCTGGGAACCCAGTAACCCAGTATTCCTCAGTGTCCTCTCTGCCCACTGGACTAAGAAGGTGGTCACTCAGGGTAGGCCTCTGCTACATAAAGCCACATCCCTAGTTCTCACCAATACTCCTCGGTGATCCTCCTGGTTCTCTGGATTARCAGTTGACTTCTACTCTAGAAGGTTTTGAGCCACGCCCCAGTGAACTAATGACCACCTACAGCCAAAGTGAACCCCCTGCCCCAGCCACTGGCTCAGGTAGTAGTGGGCCCCGCTGTCCACGAGGCTCCCATCCCAGCTGCTTTGTAGGAGACCCGATGAGAATGAGCCGGCCTTCTAAAACTGCCTGAGATTGAAAATGCAGCCTTCTCACTGTCGGGTTCCTAAGAGAGAACAAACTCCAAAGCTGAAATTGCYTTTCCCCTCTTCATTGTTCAAAAAAGTGGAAGTTTGAGGTCTTTGAACTATTTTTTTTTTCCCACCATATCTCAATCAAATAATCCTGAGACCAGCCAGGTGGCAGTCTTCCCTGTACCAAGGACAGCAGGACAAAAAAATCCAGAGCCGCTGCAAGTCCACTGGGCCCTTTCAAGAGAGTCCAGCATTCAGAGCATGGCAGGACTGTGGGCCTGTCCAAGGGGGTGGTTTCTAAGTGGTGAGGGCACTGGAGGAGGGGACCCATCCCTGGGGACCCTCGTCTCAGGACAGACAGCAGTCTGGCTCAGAAGTGCCGTGTCTGCAGTGCGCTTCCCTGGGCGGGAGCACCCTGGAAGGGCACATACCAACCTCAACAGCAAAGCTTCAACGTGGAGGCGCTGCCTGTACTGGCTGGTGGAGACTGCTCAGGGAACTGGGATCCTGTGAAGTGTCCTTTTGTTGTAGGTCGAAAAAGGTCAGTGGCTGAGTCTGTTTTTTGTGTTCAACAAAAGAGCTGGGACGAGGCACTTTATAAGAGGTTTAACCCAGACTTGGTGGCATATGCCCATAGTCCCAGCTTCTTAGGAGGCTGAGGCAGGAGGACCACTTGTCTCAAGGATTYGAGACCAGCCTGGACAACATACTCCCCATCTTAAAACAAATTAATTAATAGATGTGTTTGGTCACAATCCTGGTGGCTGGGAAGTCCTTGTGAGGGCCAGTGGCTCCATGGGAGCCACCACAGAAGGGCCTCCCCAGGCCCCTGTCCCTGCACCTGCCAGAGGACTCTGCCCCTCTGGCCTTCCCTGTCGCTGGAGGCTCCCCTGGTGAGAACATGGTACCCTCTCCTGCACCCACTGTCCCTTGAGCCTCGCCTTCCTCTAGCCCTGGTCTCATTTCTGCATCCCCTTTTGTGACAAAGGGAAGTGGCTAGGGCCATGGGGGCCTTATGTCCTCATCTTCTGACCTGTCCGCTCCTCAAGCCTCTCTGAGATTTCTACCCCATTGAGCCACAGAAACCACACTGGCCACGGCTGCCCCCACCATCAAATCCAGCGTCCCGCCAAGCGCTCCTCCCACCTGGGCCCTGGCAGGGCCTGGCCGGCTGGAGT